GGCGCTGAGCCCCGGCCTGGGGGGTCCTGGCCCCTCAGCCGGCCCCCAACGCACCCCGCTCCCCGCAGCCCGGGTGGGCGTGGGGCTGAGAGCCTCTGCCCTGCTTGGTCCCGCTGCGCGTGAATTATTTATGGCTTGTCACAGCCCGTCCCCTCTCCCCCAGCACCGCCGTCTGTCTCCTCTTCCCCGCCGCTTCCTAGCGCGGTGCCGCTGTTGGCAGCTGGGCCCTTGGAGCATCAGGTGGCCTCTCTGTCCTCTTTTCCCCCCAGATCGCCATAATGGGCACTCAGAGCGAGGGGCGGCGAGCTCAGGTTTCCTCTCGTGCAGCTGGTGGCTCATCCGGAGCTCAACATCCAGGACCTGCCATCCCCAGGGAGTGCAACCAGCTGTGGTCCCAGCAGCTTGACTCACCCTCGGCCAGCCCCAGTGTGTCCCAGTTTGTACTGGGCAGGGACCAGTCTTGGGAATGCCCTGGCGGGGCACTGCATCCATCTGCTGCCCTGAACAACCCTGCCTGAGGGAAGGGAAACATATTGCCCCTCAAAAAGCTTTTTGTCCCCTTCTTTCTGCCCCACCCATCCATGAGCAAGAGGAGCCGGAGTAATGGGGTGTGGGAGATGCAGAAAAACCCAGCACTGATGGCAAGGACCAGCAGACTTTCACTGTGTGAGCTCTCTGGTGGAAGAGGGGCCCCAGCAACCCACCCAGGGCTGTTGGGTAACAGGGGACACTGGTCTTCGTGTCCTGTGTCCCTGCTCTGGACAAAGCCCTGGAACAGCATCTTGGGTTTCCAAATGCAGCCCTGTCTCCAAGCAGTCACCTCTGTCACCTGCTCAGCTGCTGCTTCCCTGGTGATGGTGGAGAGACCTCTGATCTGTGCTGGATCGATGCTTTGATGGGAGGGAGCCCCAGTGACCTGCCCAAGGCAGTGAGCACAGGCTGGCAGAAAGGAGAAGTCCCAGTGCTGGGGGCCCTGGCTTGTTAGCACATGTCTTTCCTGGGACTCCTTTGACAAGGAGCTCCCCAAAGGGCGTGTGGTGACCCCAGTGCTGTGGCCCCTCCGGGCTGTCGGGGACAGGGAGTGCAGGGGTGGAGGGAGGGAGGCGGTGGCTGGCGGGTGGTCACCACAATTCTGTGGGCAAATAATCCCTTAAGGGAGATTACCCTGATCGGAAGATTACTGGCCCTAATCCCATAAGGTCATTTGCTCCAGTAAACTGAGGAGATCTTCTCTGCCTGCGGAGGCAGCGTTGGCTGAAGTACGGCAGCTTCAGGGCAGCAGTGGGAGCTGGTGCACACACAGGCACCATGGGCTGGGAGCGATCCACACTCACATCAATCCTGACATCAGTCAGAAAATGGAATGGGATTGGGGCTGGATGCCAGTGCTGGAAAATGCTCCTTTGTCGGTAGGGGCAGCTGGCTGGAGATCTGCAGGCTGGATCAGGGACCAGTTTCTTCCATCCACCCTCTCAGGGCTGGCTCCCTTGGAGTCCCAGCAGGACAGAGCAGTGGGGCAGGTTGCAGAGCGGGATGCAGGACATGGGACAGGTACATGGGATGCAGGATGTAGGACATGGGTCTGCTCCTTTCCTGCAGCCTCACCCCACAGCATCCACCATGGAGCAACTGGCTTCAGCTTCCTGCCGGGTGTGAGGGCAGCACTTCATCCTTGTTGCTTTGATGGCATCAAGAGAAGAGGTCCTGATTCCCATGACATGTGCTGGGATCCTAACCAGAGGTGGAGCTACATTCACCTCCCAGGGGACAGTTTCCAGGCAGGTGACAAAAGGCTCCGTGGGCAGTGAAAGCCCATTTGTCTGTCCTGCTGCACGTGCACGGACACAGCCTCTTGGGATTGGAGGTTGGCTGCAGGGCTGGGAGCTGGATGTGATGCTTTGGTAGTGTGGCCTGGCTGGGTGGTGGTTGTCCCCTTCAGCAGCTGCAGACCTTCTCCCACCACCTCCCTAGCAGCCCTCGTACTGTCCAGGAAAGCTGGGATGAGGGAGAGCTTTCTGAGTCTGGGCAGGAGGGACGGGATGGGGATGGGAATGGGATGAGATGGAGGTGGGGATGGGGGTGGGAACAGGCTGACTGTGTCCTGGCAGAAGCAGAAGGAAGCACAGTGACTCTGGGGTTGCCAATGACAGTGCAATGAAGGCAGGGTTTTGCTGGGAATGCTGAGCTGCAGGGAGGGGTAGGGCCTGCTCTCCCTGGAAAGGTGGGCCCCAGCTCAGCACAGGCATTGGGGAAGCTGCAGCTGAGGGATTGCAGAGCCATGGACATTTGGAAAACATTTCCAGGGCAGCAAGCAGCGGCTGGTGCTGTGTGCTGCGGCCTCTCCCCAGCCAAGCTCTGAGCCAGCCACCAATCATTATGGATTTCTCCTCCTGGAGCCAGCTCCAGGGGCAGACCTTCTGCTTGGAAGCTGGACTCAGACCAGGACCAGAGGTCCATTTGGACCAGTTCCCCTGGGAACTGGACAGCCAGAGGGAGCGGCCACCCGCCCACTGCCGGGGGCTGCTTTGCTTTGCTGTGTGTTTTGTGGAAAGAGCAGGTTTGGTTTCATCATGTTCCTTTTTCCTTGCAGCCCTTTTCTGTATGCAGCCAGAAACCCTCCCTGCCTGCTGGCAGCTGCACAGGAAGCTTCAGGGATGTTTATAGGGTTTTTTTCTCTCTTCTCTTTTCATGTGGCTGCTGGGGCCTGTTGTTAAGATAAATCAGACTTCAAACCACGGTCTCCATGTTTTCAGGCTATGGATCTTTAACTGCTGTTTCAGAGGGGGTGTTTCAGGTTCAGGGAAGAAAGGCAGGTCTGTCTCTCCCTGATTTCCAGATCCTCTCTCCCTGATTTCCAGATCCCCTCTTCCTGGCACTGTGCCACCACCACAGCAACATGGGCTCTGCTCCATCACCCAGCCAAGACAGAGAGTCCTCAGGGACTGATCCCAAAGGGGTCTGGGGTGGCCAGGTGTTGGCAGGGGCTCTGGCCAGCAGACCCCATCCTTGGCAGGGGCCCTGCCCTGCCCTGTCTGGTAGCTGATGAAAAGCTCCTTTCTTCAGGCTCTGGGATGCTGGGAGCATCCCCTCCCCCAGGCAGGCATTTGTGGAGGGGATCTGTCAGGAGCATCTCAAGGTGAGGTGTTTCAGTCACATTACCCATGGTAATACATGCAGCACAGGGAGAGCCTCGCCGAGGCTGCTCCCTTGTGCTGAGTAACACCTTCACCACACTGGAATGTGCCCCAGGAGCCCAGACTCACCACACCCCTCTTTATGCTGATCCCCCTTGCTGCCCTGCAAGGCAGAATTTGGAAGCTGGTTGTGTTTCCCCAGATCAAACGTGACTCCCCTCGCTGTGTGCTGTGGTGTGCTGACTGTGGGCCAGGCTCCAGCCACGCGTGGGGCTCCTCTGCAGGCAGATAAACGGGGCTGAACCTTGGGGACTGAGCCTCAGCGAGCCAGAGCCCATCTCCATGGGCTGGGGGCTGGATCTGCCTTCAGGAGGCAGCTGCCTGCATGCAGTCACCCTCCCTGGAGACCCACCACAAAGGAGAGAAAGCCCTTTCCCTCCCAGCAGTGCCAGGGATGCCGGCACAGTGCTGCTGCTCCTCGTGCGAGCACATGTCCTTGGGGGGGTACAGCCCTTTGCTCTGCCAGACAGGTTGTGTCCAAACCCCGATGGGCAGCAAGGGGGGGAGAGGTGGTGGGGCAGCATTGGAGCACTCATGCACCCAAACCCCAGTGCCCTGGGTCCACCTGGATCTTGGCACTTCACCCTTGGGGGTGCCCCAAGGCTGGGGAATAACGTGTAACTCTTTCAGCAGTTTCATTTCAGGAACAACAAAATCCTGCTACCAAACCCCATCTTTGGTTTTTTTCAAAGGGGATACACCTTCTTTGAGCAACCTGCTCTAGTGGAAGATGACCCTGCCCATGGCAGGCAGCTGGAATAAGATGAGCTCTGAGGTCCCTTCCAACACAAACCATTCCATGATTCTATGACTCTCTCTCCAAAGCAGGGCTCAGATCCAGCCCAGCCAGCCCCTGCTGGGACTCCCCGGCCTCAAGCACGACCCTGGTGGTCTGTGACCCTGACCCAGCCCTGGGGGAGCAGAGGCACCTACCCCTCCACCCACTGAGACCTTGGGAGGTTCATCCCACCCTGGCCCACTCCGGGGCTGGTCCCAAGGGCAGGCTGAGCCTTGGTGACCGGGGGAGCCCGGGGCCACCCAGTAGCTGCCCGGGGAGCTCCGACCCTCGTTGTGCCGGGGAGGGGGTGGTCTGACAGCTCGGACGCTGCCCCGGGGGGTTCCACCGGCTCCAGGGTGGGGTGCAGGGGGGTCCCCACTGGCACCGCGCGGCTCTTCCCGGCGGGGACCCGGGTGGGTCGGTGCCGCTCGGGGGAGGGGCCGGTCGCCCTTCCCAGCGCGGGGCGGCGCCCACCGGCACCGAGCGCTCCCCCGGGACCCCGCGGCGCCGGCGCGCGGGACCCCCTCCCCT